AAATACCCAAGAGGCTCAGCAACCGGTGCCACATTTCTCTGGAAATGGGGTTAAGGTGCTAAAATCCAAGGACAGGGCTGAAGGCCTTGAGGAGCGGGTCCTCACACTCTGTCCCACTGGCGATGCCCCACCAGCCCAGGAGATGCTGTTCACTGTCTGCAGTGGGGCGCAGGGGGAGAGCAGGGCCCGGGGCTGGAGGGTGGGAGCTTGGCTGCTTGATGGACTCACCCGAACCCCTAACCACACATGACGGCTGCCCTGGGCCCTGAGGTCTCTGGTGAGGGGTGGTATGTTAGCTTCCTGAGGCTGCTGGAACAAAATACCATAAACTGGCTGGTTTAAAACAACAGAAATTTATTTTCTCATTGTTCTGGAGACCAGAAATTAAGGTGTTGGCAGGGCTGTGCACCCCCCGAAGACTCTGGGGGAGGATCCGTTCTTTGCTTCTTCCAGCTCCTGGTGGCTTCTGGAATTCCTTAGTGTCCTCAGCTCATGGCCACTCTCTCTTTGTTCCATTGTTACACGGCATTCTCTCTCTGTGTGTCTGTCTTTATCTTCCTTTCTTTTATAAATACATTTGTAATAGAATTTATCACCCACCCAAATAATCTAGGATAAGGGCTTCATTTTGAGATTGTTAACTTAATCACATCTGAAAAGACCCTTTTTCCAAATAAAGTAATATTCACAGGTTCTGAAAATTAGGGTGTGGACATATCTTTGGGGGGGTGGTGCTGTTCATCCCACTACAGAAGGAAATATTCTCTGGAGAATCTCACCAGTCCAAGAGGAGAGTCCTGAAGATATGAACATCCAGTGTCCCCAGTAGACTGTTCACTCATTTGCTAAAGCTTCCACTCAGATATTTAGTCCTCACTATTAATTATGAGCAGGTTTTGTCAAATATCTGAGAAAAAACAAAAGAAACAAACATAAATGAGCAGCATAGAGAAAGAGATCATTTGAGGAGAAGGAATCTTTAAAAAAACAACAACAACCCTGTCAATATTCTCAACAAGTTAAGGAAAGATGTTGTACTCATGAAACAAAAAGAGAATGCTATGAAAAGGAACATTCAGCAAGACAAAAAGAAAAATTGGAAAAAACTTAAAACAGCAGAAATTAAAAAAAGAATTGAACGATTAGAAGATAAAATTAAGAAACTCACATAAAATAGAGCAAAGAAAAACAAACACACAAAAAGATAGAAAATGAACCAACATTTAAATAATAGGAGTTCAGAAAAAGAAAAAAATAACTAGAGGAAGAGAGGGAAAACAGAGGGGATGAAATCATCAATGAACTAATTCAAGAAAATTTCCTAGAATATTTGGTGTCGCAGAACAATGGGTGAAATAGATTCTGATCAAGGCATGTCTTTATAAGTTTCAGAGCTCTGGGAACAAAGAGAAGGTTCTGTAAAGGAAAGACTAAGAAAAAGGATGGTTTCAGAACATTTTCACTGCAACACCAAAAACAAAAAGAATGTGGAGAAATGCCTTCAAAGTTCTGAAGGAAATTCTATACCCAGCCCAACTCTCATACAGGTATAAGGAAAGAATCAAGATATTCCCCTTATAAACAGTCTCAAAACATTTATTACCCATGCACTCTTTTCCAAAAAGCTACTGCAGGATATGGGCCACTGAAACAACAGTGCCAAGGAGGGGGCAAAGGACTCCACCCTGGAGAAGGGAGAAGGCTGATCCCCCAATGGCAGGTGTTCCCGGGTGTGTGTGATAATCCATCCAGATGGGAGAGGTCTGAATCTAGAGAGAGCCCCATTGCTCTTGAATGATCTTTTTACCTGAGGATGGAAAGTCCAGGTGAGCCTGAATACCATGTATGGATGCAGCTCTCACACACCCCTCCAGCCCTGCCCCTGGGTCAGTAGGGGACACTCATTACACTCCACCCAATGTCTGAGAGCTTGGGAAGGTCACGGCAGTTACAGTGCTGCCAGGTACCTAGTACCTGCTCCAATAAGAGATCAGCAGCACCCTGACCATGTTTGGTAAGCCCCCAGGGCATTGCTGTGGAGCCGAGTGCCTCAAGCTGGTGTGGGTTCCCTCAAGACACTGGAAGCAGGTACACATAGCTGTGTCTTTCCAACAGTTACAAAAGCGAGATATTTTTATATGCTTTCCAAAAGAACGCAACCCAGATTGTAGGAGTTCAGGCTTCATGAGTCCTAGCTGCCTTGTGCTCTCAGGACAGCTGAAGCCACCTATGTGTACAGACCCTGGCGGTCAGCCACCCTTCTCTGGACCTCGTCTCACAAGGGCAACCTCACTCTGGCCATGAACAGAGGGAGGCCTACGTGCTACTCAGTGCTTCAAAATTAAAAGATTATTTTTTTTGGAGACACATGCTATGGCAATTAGACTATAAGTGAAAAGCAACAAAATAGAAATAACCAAATAGAGACTATCAGTTCTGGCCAAAATGGAGTAACAAGAACTAGATTTATTCTCTTGACTGAAATAACAGACAGGCCAACAACATGTGAGACAATGATTTACAAGACACTAAACATCAGGTTGCAAAGGTTGGAGGCCTGTGAGCAGCAAGAAGCAAATGAGTTGAGCCCTGAGATTCCTTCAGCTTACAGGTTGGAGTCTGTTTCCCAGCTGTGATGTGAGGTAGGGGCCACAGGCATAGCCCAATGGGCGAGGGCATAGGAGACGGAGCTGAGAGTCTGTGCAGATGAAACACTGAAGTTTTCAGGAGGACTGGAGAAAGAGAGACGAGGAGAGAGGACTCCTGAGACCTGCACGAGGTCTCCACTGAGTACCCAGCGGAGTACTGATCAGAGCATGGAGAAAACTGCAGGAGGCCAGGGAAGAACCTCTTGAAAGCTTTGAGGTGAAAGGTCAGATGCCCATGCAGCGCTATGGAAACTGCCCGTTCCCACCAGGCAAAGTTGGAAATCCCAGGACTTATGGGCATTAGGCAGAGGTAACACAGAAGAGTGTTACCTCCATAGTGGAGAATGATTGGTCCTTGATTGGAGACTGCTCATGCCTTGCTTAACATATCCTAAAGTGGGACCCCAAAGGATCAATATGTTCCAAGAAAAGTCAACTTTGTCCTTGAGCGGAGCTCAAGAATATTTATAGAAATACAAAAATGCTTATCACCCAACATAACAAAATTCTCAATAACTGGCATCCTATTATGGATTAAATTGCCCCCCCCAAATTGATATGTAGAAGTCCTCTGGTTTCTCTTCTTTGTTAATATTGTGAGTTACTTTGATGCATTTTTAGTGTTAAATCAATCTGGCATGAACTTGGTTATGATGTATTATTGTTTTTATATGCTGTTGGGCTTAACTTGCTAAAATTTTGCTTGTATTTTTTACATCCATATCAATGAGAGATTTTTTTCCTGTAGTTTTTTTTTTTTTTTTTTTTTGGTAAGACTTTGTACAGTTTTGGTGTCAGAATAATGCTGATATGAAATGAGTTGGGGAAAAATTCTCTCCTCTTCAATTTTCTGGAAGGATTTGTGTAGAAATCCTGTAGAAAGGAGTACCAAATCCTCCTTAAAGATTTGGCAGAATTCACCTATAAAGCCACTCTGGAAGACAGCGTAGAAATTTATTCAAAAGTTAAGCACACACCTACCAAATGATCCAACTATTTCACTCCTAGGTATTTATCCAAGAGAAACCAGAGCACAGATATACACAAAAGCTTGTATATAAATGTTCAGAGCAACTTTATTTGTAATAGTTCAAATTAGAAACAAAAAAATGTCCATCAATAAGTGAATGCACAAACTAGGATATATTCATTACCTTGATTGTGATAATGGTTTCATGATTATATACATCTATCAAAATGTGTCAAGTTGTACATTAGATATGTAAGTTTACTGTATGTCAATTATACTTCAATAAAGTATTATAAAATAAAACACAGTAATATACATAACTGAAAAAAACACATATACTGCAAGCAAAATAGTACTATATACTTCTCTAAATGGAAAAAATATAGCAATAGAAAGAAAACTTTGATAGATGAGTTAAATAGCAGAGATGACACAGATGAAGAAAGAATAAGTAGACTGGAAGAAAAGCCTGGAAAAATTACCCAGAATGTAACAGAGTCAAATAAATGAAAAATGTGAATAGAGTTTGGCAGGTATCAAAGGTAGAGTAAGAAGGCCTAACGTGTTATTAGTTGGAGCTCACAAATGAGATAAGTATGAGGATGAGGGAGAGGCAACATGGAGAGAGTTAATAGCTGAGAATCATATAAAATTGATGAGAAACATGAATTCTTAGACGCAGAAGCACAAATCCAAAGCAAGGTATATGAACGAAAATCTGCACCTAAATGCAAGACAGTGAAATTGAAAGACAAATAGAAGATCTTAAAAGTATCTGGAGGAAAGACAGATATAAACCAAAGAACGACTACAATTAGACTGACATCTGACTTCTCCATAGCAAATATGAAAGCTAGGAAACAATGGAATTCCATCTTCCAAGTGCTGAGAATTGTCAACTTTTTTGTATACCCAGAAAAACTATCTTTCAAGAACTTTTCAAGTTTCATCTTAAGAATGAAAAGAGCTTTCAGACAAATGTAAATAATGAGGTAAAGCCCAAAGTTAACTTCTCTGAAATGATTTTCTCAACCTCTCAAAATTCACCTTTGCTATGCTGTCCTTCAACCCACCAGTGCTGTTTAGAATATCTTCTCTTCTTCTTACAACGTATCCCAGAGACCTTATCATTTTAAACTCACTGATGTATCTCAGTTGCTTTATTTGTGGGTAAAGAATGAAGAGAGAGAGTTATGTCAAGAATGTGTATACATTTGGGTGCACTTTCTGAATCCTCCACCTCAATACTTGTATCTCTCAGGGAGAAAAAAAAAATTTCCAGGGAAAATTGAGGGTACAAAATGGGAACTCCTTTACTCCCTGCAAATGCTCTAGACACACCTAAATTGTTTTCCATCTCTGTTTCCTCTCCTTCCTTCAAGGTTCAGAGAAAGAATTGCAACACGCATTCGAGTCTGGTGCCTCTTTTCCTGCTCGTCTCATGTACGTCTGACCCTTCTCAGCACCGAAGTCCCACTTCTCCCTCTGCTGGTGGAGATGTTCCTCATCCAGTCTTGCAGGTCAACCCCTACACACCTTTCAAGACTATGTCTAAGGGTCCATTTCCTTATTAAGGCTTTTGGAACATCTCTCCTTGTGCTGCAGTGGGGTTTCCTCTGTGGGCTGACTGCCCCCTGTAAGGCCTGGGTCGTGGCCACCCTGTTCTGTTACTGGCGTGCGTGATTTCATTTGTCCCTCTCCCTTCATCCAACTGGGGCTTCCTTTGGGCAAGAAGCATTTGCTTCCTCTGCAGCCTTGGTGCCCCTACAACATCTGGCATTCATTAGTTACTAGGTTAGTTACTGGATGCCTGGGGAATGTGAGAATAAGTTAATGAGCCTTTCCCCCCTCTTACATCTACACTTCTGGACTGCTGTGTGACGAAGCACTGAAACAGAGTGTGAGGTTCTGGAAGGACCAGGAGACTTTGTCAAAGAGGACAAGGTTCTGGAGTGGTTTAGGCTGAAGAGCCATGCTCAGACACTGGCGGCAGGGTGTTCAGCCTGCAGTCTCAGAGCAGGATCTTCTCAGGAGCTGTTAGCCTGTGTAACGATGAATTAGATGACCTCCAAATTCTCCATCCAAGGGGGGAGTAAATGAATCTCCCTGAAATGCTTCCAGCATCATTTCACTCATTGCTCACAAACCTCCAAAAAGGCTGTATTGCCTTTCTAATCAAGCCCCGATTTTATAAATGCCCTTCATTGAGTCACTGTATCCCCATTACTTACAGGTAAGCAAGTCCTGTCCTGGTATCCTCTTGTCTCGTGCCCACATGTCCGGCTGTTCTGATTGTGCCCAGGATGTGCCCAGCACCTAGACCATGCTGCCTCACCTATTATGAATCTTCTGTTGAAGTAACCCAAAGATTTCCAGGTTGGAGTGTCCAAACTGAAGACATGATTTTCAGGCTTTTAGCTGGGAGAAGACTTGAATCTGTGTCCTGAAATGGAAGAGGATATTCCAAAAGTGTCAAGTTCTCCACCACTGGAAATGTCCAAGTAGAGAGCAGGCAACCATTTTCCATATGTGCTTGAGAAAATGGTGTATTTCATCTCGTGGAAGCCTCCTGACGCCCAGTTTCTGAGTTCCCGTCGGTCTCAGCACCTGCTGGCTCAGATCCATCAGTCAGGTTCCCATCGTTCGCGTGTGACCTTGGATGTCCCTGCTTCTTCTTTGCTGCTCAGAGAGTCCCGTTTGCATCTTCATCACAGCCCCTCCCCCGTGGTCTGCCCACACTGCACCTGCTCCTCTAGCAGAGCCTCCATTGTCTGAGGGAAGGCAACGTCTTGCTGACCTCTGCAGGCTCACAGCTGACCCCAGAGCAGTGCGCAGCATAGGCCCTCCGTAAATCCCCAGGGCAGATGGGAGGGGAGGAGAGCCAGCGAGAGAGAAGGTAGGAGTGAGCCCCAGGGCCCAGCCGCAGCCTCGACACAGCTGGAAGGGCAATGGTTTCTGCCCCTTCTTCGCCGTCACCTTCTGGAGGAACAGGCTTTTGGGGACAATTATGTCAAACCTTACTTCCTTATATATTAGTTCCCTTCCATTTCTGATACACTATATGGTGATTTAAAACAGCAGTTTACAGTGAAATTCATTTACAACAACACCATCCATTGTGATCACAATGTCATAAATTTATGTTTTAAGTAATTTTTAATGCTTGTAGCAGCTGGGGCCCTGAAGTGTGGAAATAGCTAACATTTTTCACCCTGTGCAGCCAAGGGAGAAGAATTGTTGCTCTTTAATTATACAACCACCGAAGACAGCATGCAAAGAGTGGAGCAGAGATAATTGCAAAGTAAGAAATGATGGGCCAGGACCATAGCCGAGACGTTAAATGAAGACACAGAGATGCCGGGACGCTGCAGGTAAAGCCTGGAGCAGAAATGTGCATCCTCCAAATTAATAAGCAGCTGTAATTGTAAGTCAATTGATTAAAAAAGGAAGCAATGTTAGGAAGACGGGATTATACACAGAGTGAAATACTGCCCTCTAACCCAAAAGAGCTGGATCTAAAGGGTAGATAGATAAGGGAAGTGCTAACGCCTCCATGCTCAGGCTTGCACGAGTGTCCAGGGTGCAGCGACGTGACAGTCCTGAGTGGCGCTGATGGGGGGTCACCTGTGCCCTCCACGTGTCCCCAGGTCTCCGAGGGAATCGTGCTAAGATAAATTGACACAAACCTGTGTTACCTCCCACCCCCACCGGAACACCCTCTAGGAGCTTCAGAATTGGGGGAAGGAGAAAAGGAGCTTGAGGAAACACTGCTGACGACCCTGATGAGCTCTGCCCAAACTCGCAGTCTCTCTGCCTCTGTTTCTCTCCCCCTGCCCGCCTCCTTCCTTCCCACCCCCTCCGTTTGGGCACCATCTTGAACAATGCACAGCTGGCTCGGTTTGTCCCCCGCAAAGCACCCGGCTAGGTTCTCCATGGTGGCTCCTGACACAACTGGGTTTCAGCACTTCCCACTGAGTGGAGGACACTCCTCTGTCCCGGGTTCATAGACCCCGCTGTCCAGCAGAAATGTAACACAAGCCACGTGTGCAATTCTAGTGAGAAGAAACAGGTGAAATCCATTTAAAGAATATATATTTTTTAACCCGATATATTCAGAATAAGATCGTCCAGCATGTACTTGATAGACAATCGTTATTGAGCGATTCTACACCCGTAAATTTTTCTGCAGCCAGTCTTTGGGAGCCAGTGGCTCTCGGTTCAGACCAGGCATGAGTCACATGCTGGGGGCACTGCATGTTGACGGTGCGGGTCCAGGCGCCGGGCCGGTTGCTGCTTCGGATGAAAGCAACCTAAGGTGGTGTGATAGACGGTCCCTCCTGCGTCCCAGACAGGCCATCAGGGCGCGGAGAGCGGCAGCCACAGCAATCCTCAAGGGAGGGTGTGGGTGAGGGCCCCCACAGGCCTGGTCAGGACTGACCTGTTCCGTCCCGGTAGGGGCCCCCCCCTCCTGCATCCCCGATCCATCTGTGCTGGGTTCTGATCTACATCTACCTGGTCTGAGTCTGAAGCAGCACAGACAACTGTGCAAAGGGCCCTCCTGCCAGCCCCTTGGAGGAGCGACTTTTGAACAAGGACCTGAGGGGAGTGGGGGCTGCGGGATTCCCGAGTGGATGGGGGCGAGGCCGTGTGGACCCCCTCCTCTCTGGGAGCCCCCTGGTGCTTGGGTGTCCCTCAGCAGCGAGGTCCCAGTGCAGCCTCCATCTCTCGGCCTCCACTCCCGCTGTGTTTCAGGGTAGGACACCTCGGGGTTGAGACTCCTCTGACTCTGCCCCGAGACTGGCCGTTCTCCACCCCACCACCTGGTTCTTGTCGGGACCCCAGAGGCTCACCCACGCAGCAGGCCCTGCGGGGATGGCGCACGCCCGTCATCAGAAAGTCTGACTTTTACGGTCTCCTCCCTCCCCTGTGCAGACCCTGCCAGGAGCCAAGAGCCCCTCAGGGGAGGGTTTGGGTGCGAATTCTGCTGCCCGATATCAGCAAGTAAAGGTCCTAACAATGAAGGAGAACAAGTGTCCAGCAGGAAAGGATGTCTTGTTCCCAAAGCATCCCTTTCCTTTAAAAATTTTTAAAATTCCTAAGTTTTAAGTGTTTGTTTAGTGGGTGGTGGAGAGAGAAATGGGCTGAGAACTTGAGTGCTGGTGAGGGTGTCAGAGGGGAAAATCAACCTGAAGTCAGGCAAATGGTCCGAAGGGCGCATTACACTCAGGTCCGCTTGGGTCCCCAAAGCCCTCCGCCTGCTCGGGTCCTGGGCACGGACGGGAGCCTTAGGTTTTGCGTGAAATTGTTTCAACGAGGCTGCTGTGTACACAGAGAAAAAGCTGGGTCCTGGCACCCTGGTCTCGGACGTCCAGCCTCCAGCGCGTGAGAAATCAGCGCCTGTTGTTGAGGCTGCCCCACTGTGGGGCTTTGGTCACGGTGCCTGGACTGGTGAATTACTGAGTCAGGAGACACAGTACGTATGTTCCGGTGCGTTTCCGCTTGAGTGGGGTAGGGCGTGGGATTTAGCATCCAAGGAAAAAAAATGGAATTCTCCAGACGCAGAGCTGAGTCTTTTTCTCACAGTAGAATACTTCCCAGGAGAAGTGCGGTCTGTACTTGGGTAAGGGTCTCCCCTGCATCCCCTCGGGTTTTCCTCATGTGTGGCTTACGGGATGGGACATGCTAGGGAAGGAGCTGCCGTGGCCTCAACGCTGAGAGGGGCCGGCGGAGACCCCAGTCTGAGGTTCTGGGTCCAGGCTCCCCCCCCGCCTCTGCAGCCTCTCTCAGGGTCTGGGGCTCTTGTTTGAAGCAGACATGATGCCAGGAGCCCAGACACCCAAGACCAACGGGCCATGGAGGGGGGTCGGTCTCCCCCTGAAGGGGTCCCGAGTCTCTGGACTCTGAGCTTGGGGGTGAGAGTATCCCGGGTCTTGACGTCCAGCAACCGTTTCCTGACCGGGACCTTTACAGGAGCAGGAAATAACTATGGGAGATGGTTTGGGCTTTTGTGGAGCAAAAACTACCAATATAGGGTAAAAAAATGAAAATTACTCTTAGATACGCATGGTAAACTCTGTATCACTTGTGTGACGATTGAACACTTTGGTCCTCGGCAGTTTATTTGGGTGATTTCAGCCTGAACACCCACCAATTGCCAAAGGGACCCATGGACCCCAGTGGCTGAGCGCCCCGCAGCCCACAGCCTGGATGAGAATGTGAGGACGTGGGCCCCTCCCCACGGCCCTCCACCCACAGGCGAATCGGCCGAGCCCACAGCTCTGACTTGTTAAGCACTTGGTCACCCAGACCTCCCTGCCTGACTCTCGCCAAGTGGGCAGGTCTCAGAAATAGACTCTGATCCGTCTCTGACAGGTGCTGGTGGGGGGCAGGACCCCCCCGAAGCCCTGCCTCCTGTTGAGGTCTCAGCTCGGTGTCAAGGCCACACAGATAATTTGCCTTCACTGTAATATTTGTGAGAAGGAAAGAAAAAGAATGCTTTGGACGGCTCCATCCCGCTCCCCATGGGGTCACTGTGGGGTAAGCCTGCCCTCTGTGGTCTGAGCTGGTGAGAAACTCGAAAATCTCCAGCCCGGAAATGCTGGAGCAGTTCTGTTTGGTGAAAATCCCAGCAACCACAGCTCCCCTCCTTGGCCCCAATACAGTGGCTCAGAAAAGTGCTGGAATAACAAGGGAAGAGGGGCTGAAATAAAATCATCCCAACACAGAGTCTTCTGGTGGCCCTTCCTCGGGCATTGTTCAACCAAGGAGGAACGTCTGCTTTTCGTACAGTTCCATCTTGCAGTGCGTTCTGTGCTTTGGAGGGCGCTCAGCCAGGAGTGCGCCAGGCAGACTGAGGGTTTGGTGGAGATCTTTGCATCAGGCACTGGGAGTGGGGCCTCCACGTACCCTCGTAACCACAGAGGGAAGTGCTACCAACTCAGCGAGAGGGCTCCGCGTGCTCCAGAGCTGGTATGTCCTGTCCCCCGTACCTGGTTTGGGTTACGTGAATCTGTCTGGAACGCTAGGAGTCCAAGAGTAGACACACACTGCGTGTAATAGTGCAAAAACCAGACCAGTCTCACGTGTCTCTTGAGAATTCCACTACTGTATTGGAAATGGAATAATAAATGATTGCAAAGCATTCTTTGCTTTAATAAAAGAACACCATCTGAGTGTTGCACCTGGGATGGAAGACCGAGGGGCCTGTTCCTCTCTGTCACTGCCGGCCGTTCCAGTCTCCCGCTGTCGTTGATTTATGCGGCGCCAGGATAAAGGACGCGCGCACAGCCCCACGGCTGCGTGAAGACACATGACGGCGGCTCCCCCTTATCTGCATGTGCAGGCCGCCCAGATCCATCACTGCACGCGTGGCCCAGCTCTGGGCCCGGCCCGCTGGAGGCCGGTCGGTGGACGGACGGACGTATTCTCGTCAAATGCAGCTGGGTTCCACTTAGGAATTCCTGCTGTGGGGCAGGGGCAAAGTATCTATAATAATTTTAAGGACATTTCCCAAATGTTTATTTAGATAAAAGATGGATAACAGTAAAACTCCCAAACCTGCAGCCTGATAACTAGGTTTTATTAATGACCTGCCATTCGCTAGGGCTGGATAATTAAAGGTTTTCCCCCCAAAGGAAGAGAGTGGACAAATTTATCTGATGGTTGGATAACCGGGGACACTGGTTGGAAACTATTGATATAATCAGAGCTCATTCGATTTGCTTGAGACAGCCACCCTATCAGCTAATTTCACCTGTGAATACTTAATTACCCTGGGAATGCATATGGGCGCCCCATTAATAAAATTTGACTATGTCATCGCTTCTTTGTCACCCGCATGTGCCTTTTATCTCCTGCATCGCCTTCTTAGTCTTCCTTTCCTTTTTTTTTTTTTAATTCCTTTCCACTCTCTCTTCTAAAAAAATGAGGCTTGGGGAGACGGATGTGGGCTGTGTGACTCCTGTGCTGTGTACAGAGGGTGCGTGGCTGGGCAGACCTGAGCTTGACGGAGCTCAGAATGAGGTCTGGACCAGGTGGGGGCATTGAGGCAGGGCCCTCGTGACCAAGCCTGCATGCGGCTGGATGCGGAGGTGGGCGCCAGGCTCAGGGCCCCAGCAATGGACGTCTCGTGGCCAGACCGGCAGGGCGCTGCAGTCCAGGAGCACCTGGTGGGGGCTTGGAAGCCTCCTCCCAGCCCAGCTCCTGTACAGGCTCCTCCTGTGACCCCGGGAAGGCTGGAGCCCTGTCACCATGGATGCACCTGCACACAGGGACCTGGTTATGTCCTCACTGGGCTTGGAGTCCTGGGTCATGACCTTGAGAGAGTCATTAATTTCTCTGACTTCCCATTTTCTCAGATGTAAAGTGGGGATAATGTTCCTTTAAAAGGAACAGACGTAAAAGGCATCTGGAAAGACACCCAGGAGAAGGGAGGGCCCGAGGCCATGGCTGGGGGATGGAGGGGGCGGGGTGGGGGCCTCCTGCCTCTTCCCAGGCACCCCCAACATCTCCGGCAGATGAATAAAGGGGAGCAGGTGTGGCCCGTCCGTTCGCTCCCTCGGTGATTTCATGGACCCCCATGGAGTGGGGCGACCTCAGCTTCACCCACACTTGACTCTCAGGGCTGTGTCTCTGGGACAACGGCAGTGCTGGGCTGCTGGGAGGACGTGTGTGGGACCCCTGCTTCCCCAGGCTTGTGGCTTGGCTCAGAGCGCAGGCGCAGCAATGGGGCGTGAACCGGCTGGACCTTCGTGTGGGGACACCCCTCACTGGTGAAGCCGAGGTGCCCAGAGGGGAGAGGGCGCCGGGAGAGGGGAGTCCTGCTGAAGGGGGTGGGGCACGCTGGTGGGTGAGCACGGGCCCTGGGTGCCCGGCTGGTGCCCCTCACAAACCTTGGCAGGGACGAGGCCCCGAGAAGGCGGCCGTGCTGCCCCACCATCTCTTGGACCTCCTTTCTGTTTCGCCCAGTGTCCCCACAGGGCTGACGGTTCCCTGCCTCAGGCAGAGCCCTCTCTTCCTGTCGTCCATCCACGTGCCCTACATGGTGACAGGTGTGCAGCAGGTGTTGGATAAACCTACGATCGGCAGGGGAAAAACTTCCCCTCCCAATCACATCCCCCGCCGTCCCCGCCTCCACCCGCCCAGCTGCCAGCATCCTGACTCTGCCCCGTCGGCCCCCAACCAGGTCCAGGCTCCACCTGTGCTGACTTGGTTATCTGTCCCCCTCCCACCTCCATGATAGGCTCTGGAGGGTAGATGTCGGGGTTCCTGTGCCCCCACTCTGCCTGCTGGGCCGTGGGGTGGCCATGCTTGCTGCCCTGGCCTGCTGGGCTACCACTGTCGTGTGGCTCTGGCTCTCCCACTTCCACGTCTGGGGCACGGCACCACTGCCCACTACTGCTCTTTCCTGCCAATCCTGCAGGTGGCCCCCCCTTGGAGAGCCCACCCCCACCCCCCACTGTCCTTCATTCAGGCAGAGACCCTCCTGCTTCTGCTCCTGCCTCCGACCTCCCACCCAGCAGTGGTGGGCATTGGTCCCTCTACCCCAGAGGTCACTCACTCACTGAATGCCCCAGTGGCTCACTCAGCACCTGGGATGAAGTCCACAGTCCTCATCCTGACTCACAGGGCCCCACAGGCCCCACCCTGTGTCCCTTCCTCCCCTTACTTCCTGGGACCCCAGCAGCTCCAGGGCCTTTGCTTGGCCACTCCCTGCTGTGCCCTACTGTGCAGACCAGCCTGCTGGCCTCCAGTGCTCTCTGCAGAGGGACCCTCAGCCCCCAGAGCAGCCCCTTGCCACACTGGACCACATGGCTCTTAATCTTCACCATGAGCTTATCACTTCTCTGACGTCTGCATGTGAGTCGAGCGGGCACTCGCTGCTGTGTCCCCACACAGAGCTGGTGCCCCATGAGCACAGGCTGGAAGAATGAGCACTCTGTCATGAGGGTGTCTTACTCTGGGACCTCATGGGGAGAGTCTGGGTGACATGGTCCAAGGAGCCCAGGCCTCCTCCAACAGCCCTGTCCTTGC